TTGTTTGTTTTTTTGCCCTATGACATGTCTTTTCTGAAAGAAGAGCTTCAAGTAACAGGTATGCTGACTGGAACCTTCTGAGACTAATCTTATCATTTAGAATGGGAGGTAATTAATTAATTAATTATCTTAATTTCCTTTTCCCTAAATTTTAGCTTTCTTCAATTTTCAGCATTAATGAACAGTTAAAAGACGGGATATATAATATTTTATGATTTGTCCTTTATAGTGATTTTTTATAAAAGCCATTAGAATTTCAAGTACAACAAAAAGTGGTACTATTCAGTTTTGAGGGCCATAAAAATCGCCAAACTATTGTTGATGCCAGTGCTGCCAAAAATAATTGCGGAAACCCTAATGCAAGAAAGGAAGTATAATAGTAAATAACTATCTGAAATTGATGTTTTAATTTAGATTAAAGGTTCATTTCATATACAGTAGACTCCCGATTATCCGCGCCTGCCGCACAAGGTTTTTTTTTTTTTTTTTTTTTTTTTTTTTTTTTTTTTTTTTTTTTTTAAGAAGCGTAAAGCAAAGAAAATAAAAATGTTCACAAAAACTGAAACTGAGCGAAACGTTAAATTTGCTAACATCGTGCTTATTTATAGCAAAAATATCCCAGGCCTTCTCGGAACCTTCCCCTCTGATAAGTAATTGATTTCTTACTCACCCTTGCAATGTCTGCTCCACCGCCCTCTCTCATCTTAATCTTGGATTTCGAGAAATTCAACTTCATGGGGAGTACCTTAGTGGTGACCAACAAGCAGCCGATGATTTCCACCATGAATTTGTTTTAAAAGAAGAGCTATCTTTTGAAAAAATTTACAATTCCGACGAATCGGGACTTTTGTGGAAATGTCTTCCCGCTCGCACTTTAGCATTTGAAAGTGAAAGTAAAGCGGCAGGTCATAAAAGCAGCAAGGATAGGATCACTATCATGTCTTGCAGTAACGCTACCGGTGGACATAAACTTAGACTTGTTGTCATTGGAAAGTCAAAAAAACGAGATCTTTTAAAGGCATAAGGATAGAAAATTTGCCCATTAATTACTTTAACAAAAAAAAAAAAAAAAAAAAAGGGATGGATGAACCGAAACATTTTTCAAAAATGGTTTAAAAAAAATCTTTATTCTTCAAATGCGTAAACATCGAAAAACTTGCTTGAAAAAGCTGTGCTGTTGATCAACAATGCACCTTCTCACCCAGCAACAAGCGTGCTAAAATCTTCTGATGGACAAATTTTTGCAAAGTTTCTCCCCCCAAACATTATTGTGCTAATCCAACCCATGGACCAAGGAGTCATTGCAACAATGAACATACCGAACCAAGCTGCTAATGACCAAAATTGAAGAAGGTTATGATCTGAAAGAGTTTTGGAAACACTACACAATCTTGGACAGCATCTACGATATTGCATCTGCATGGGACTCGGTGAAACCGGCAAACCTGATAAAATCATGGAGAAAACTCATGCCTAATGTTGAAGCCAACAACAACCTAACCCCTTTGAGTTGTGAAGAAGTGAATGAAGATGTAGACACACCCACAGCGACTCTTGCTGATATGGTGAAAACAGTTCTGGGAGGTGAGAACATCGATGCTGCAAACATTAACAAGTGATTGGAGTGTGACGGCAATGAACCTGGCTTCGAACTCTTCGAAGCGGCTTTGCAACAAGTCGACGGACTGCTGAGCTATTTGGAAGAACAAGACGACGCGGAGTTGACCGAGAAACGTATGCTACGAAAAATGCAATCTCGGATCAAGAGAAAATGCTTCCAAAGCAAGAAGCAAACACAAATGACTGATTTCTCCAAAAAGGTGTAATTTTACAGTTATGCTTTTGTAATTACATAATACAGTCAAAAGTCGTTAATCCGGACTCGTCGACACTTCGGCGATTCCGGATTATCGATTTTTCTGGATTATAGATCATCAGTTTAAATCTCGTAAGATGGCATGCAGAAATTCTAAAATTAAAAATATGAAACCATAATTTATGAAATAAAGAACAATTATGATCTAAAGGGTATCAAAATTTATAAAAAAAAAAAAAAAAAAAGCTTAATATTTATTTGTTTACTTTATTAAACATTTCTGTCAATGTAAGTTGATTAAGTTGCTTTGTTTTATGTGATAATACATTCTCTTTAATTCTATAAACAGACATAATTTCTTGTTCACTTACAAAGTTCCGCTGTTCAAGTCCCGTAATTGCTGTGCCGAGAATACCGACTAACTTGTCAATCGAAATTTTTTCGTTTTCACTAACCTCTCTGTCACCTTCTTCATGTCTTTATTCATTGTTTGCAGCAATACCACTTTTTGTTTGATGGACATCGAAACATATTTTTGTTTTGTAGATCCTTTGGGAGCTCCAGCATTGGAAATTCTATTTGACATAATCGAAAGTTCAAGTTTACTTTTATAAAATTACTCTTACAGTCTGCAACAAATAATAAGCAGGATCCAATTCAAAGATTAAGGATAAACGCAATCATCAACATTAACTGAAATAGGTAATTAGATAATTTTAGCTTATACCGTCTGTTATACATAAAACGCGCATGCAAAAACGTATTCTGCGCTTGCGCACACGCATATGTGCAGTCGTGAAAGCCTTACGCGCACGCGTAAACACCTATGCGCTTGTATTAATGTGGTGCATGCGCAGAAAGTTTTTAGATTGAGGTCCGGATTATGGGTGTCTGAATTAACGACTTTTGACTGTACATTACAGTATTAAAACACTATATATGTATTAATTTTTCTATGTATCCTTGACGCCTCTCGTAAGTACAAAGCACTTTTCTGTTTTCATTAACAAAATGCATTTTCGGCTAGTTTTGAGTGATATACTAAATTATTAATTACCAATTAAAAAAGTATAAAACGAGAATTTTAATAAAATGAAAAAAGTACATAGCCCATTAGTGGGCAAAATGTATAAGATTGCTGAACAGTGTTAGTAGGACATAGGTTTAGAATATCAGGGAACGAGCTTACCTTGTGTATAAGGTAAATACAAACCATTTCCTTTAGAAAGTTCTCCACAAATGGAAGGGCATCCCTTCCCATAGACAGATGATCTATGTATGAGAGCAATCAAATTTGAATAACGTACGTCTCCACCCGAATACGGGCATCTGGAAGCCCAGATTTGGAATTTGTTTTATTATCTATTTCATATTTTGTAAAGCATTTATGAAATTTTGAAACGATCTCAAAGCGAGGAATGGCAACACTGTATGGAAAAAAAAACGTTTTTATCACGACTAAACGAGACTGTGTATCGGAAATTCTAAACATATGCTATTTTGAAATATTTTCTTCTGAGATTACCGTTGAATTAAATTTTGTGGTTTAAGTGCAAAGAACATGATATTTAATAAATAAAGGCAACACACAAAATGTTAAAGAAACATGTGTTTGGGTAACGTAAAAAAAAAAATTAAATGTAAAATCTCAAAGCTTTCAGATTTTTTTTTTTTTTTTTTTTTTTTTTTTTTTTTTTCTGGTTCATTTGCATTATATAATTAGATTCATGGCCTAAAATTTTAAAATGATAGTTATTCATTTTTAAATTCTGTAGTGTAGATCATCCATTTTTGCAAAATTGTTATCCCCCCCAGTTTTAAAGCATCTAAAAATAATACAAAACATTGGCACATACTCTTTGCTCTCTTCCTCTTTTTAAGAACAAAGGCATGTTGAGGAACTAAATAGCGGGAATAACTATTTAGGAGGTCCAATTAGCCCTTAGGGATCCCGCCAATTTGATCATGAGAAAGTGAAAACTAATGGATCAGATCTAAAGGTCTTCGAAAGTTACTATGTTTTTCCTAGAAACTTTGCTGTGTGTTGTGTTACCAGAAATAATGCTTTAACTTGTATTGAGTTACTATAAATCACGAAAGCATAAATTAGAAAAAACTGTAAAAAGATTGCATTTCTTTTCTCCAAAAAACTTGTACCTTTTCTAATGAAGTGAACTCTACGGGAAGCATTTCTGTTGTGGAAAAAAAGTAAGCAATCCTTTTTCCACAACAGAAATGAACCCTTATTTGAAAATTCTGACTATTATATAATTATAGCTATTATAATAATAGATATAATTTTAATAAATATTTAATGCATTCAAAATTGATGCAGTATGTACTATTTATTGTGTATTTATCTAAACTTGAAAATTTTGGTAAGTGGTAAAATTTTTCAATTTTTAATTACCTGCGGTTATGAATTGTACTCGAAACATTGGTTTCATTTGCATTAATCTTAATTTTATTTAACTGTACTCTTCAGAGATATCATACAGATAGTTAATGCTTCCAAGTTGCAGAGTTAAGAAATTATTTCTTTAATGTATGTTATTAATGAGGGGACAGTTATTTTAATTCTTATTTCAAGTTTTTCTTGGAAGAGCAACACTAATTGATAGGGAATGACTAGACTAAAATTTGCTAATAATGTCTCAACTTCAGCGATTTTATAGAGCTGTAAAAGGAAATTGCCTTATATATATCTGTATGCTGTGACATATTTCTTGCTCCTATATCCAAGAATTGAATTGTTTAATCTCTTGTGCGTCTAAGAAATGTGAGAATCATTCATTTAGTGACGAGAGAAAAAGTACAAAGGCCTCTTTCTCTTTCTCATTGAAGAATCAACTGTAGTAAGTTAACTGGTGCAGCTTCTGTCAATTAAAAAGACCGAGTCGATATGTAATTTGACTTATGAAATTATGAAAAAGTTTAAATGTGATCGAGCATATTTAAAGTGTTATTGAAGCTTTCAAAAAATTCTGATCCATAAACTAATAAAATCAGAATTAAAATAAGAATGATTTTATACTTAAATGATAACCCCAATGACATAAAAATATTAATAAAAAGTAACAGAAGGCAAAAATTTTTTGTAAGATATTGTTATTTCCAGCTATATATCCACATATTCGAATACTATTTATCAAGGGGAAAATGCATGTTCCATTTTTTGTTTTAGAAAGAAATTAAATACAAGGAATCCTCTTATGGTGACATCTTCCTTAGTAGGCCATCTATAAAAGTGGTCGGTATTTCTGAGAACGGCGACTACCATGAAGGCACGCTAGGGAAGCGGGAGAAATACCTTATAAGGTATTGATTGTAAATAGGATAATTAAATGCAATATATCCATAATTATGTTACATAATTTTATTATTAATAAAATTCATAATATAATTATTATTTATATTAAGATAACTGCCATTAACATAATGTATTTGTCACGTAATAATTATTTATATACCTGAAGATGCTATAATAGGTAGAACAGCATAGCCATAGGAGTCGGAACTGGCACCCCCCCTGTAATTTGAACTGGCTATGCCCTTGATATGTATTAGTCAAGAACACATCCCATTTTTTGTAAATTTGTTTAATCTAATATTCTTAATCTTTTCCCGTGGGCAACAGAGACCAATTTTGGCTCTAGTGTAGAATTGTGTGCACCTTCGATTAGCGACAAATTTTGTTCAGTTTTGGTGATGAAACCCTATTTCTGGTTACCATGATAATTTTAACTTTGTTTTAGTTTCCTGATATTTTTTTAATGAAAATAGATCAATGTGTACATGGACAAAGTTAAGGAAGTGCGCAGTGCCTAGTTTGTGATATTCTCTGATTTTTTTAAGTGCAAATAGATCAATGTGTACATGGGCACCGAGTTTGTCCAATTCTTTTACTTCTAATTTTGGTTTTGTGTAGTAGCCATCTTAAAATTGTGACTTCCTGGCGCCGATCTTGGCGCCAAAAAATAATCTCCAAAAAAACAAAGGGCACCCAATTGTCAACTTTTACCCCAATTTTTTATGTATTGGGCTATTTATTCAACTATGTTAACAGGAAGGAGCAGAAAAACAAATCAGCATGATCTTACACTTCCTATTCGATATTAAAGAGTAAATTTTAAATCTTCACAATTTACTGTTATTTCTTGAGACACATTTAAAATAGTGTACGTGCGGGATATATATGTCCCAGCCCCCTGGGAAAGGAATTATAATTGTGATGTTTTTTTAATTTGTACAGGGTAGGGAGGTATACCTTCTATATTTTGCAAACAATAGTAGCACCAAAAAGATTGCCACAACCTTGCCTGTGTGACGCATTTAAGAATACATTTTTGCCCATGGTTAAAAGTATGTACTCACCCCTAAATAAAAGGATCGTATTGCCATATTTAATGTTTTGTCCCCAAATAAATTTCACTCAAATCTGACTGCAACATTCTAGGCAATCAATACAGTTGACAGTTCGCAAAAATTAAATGTATCCATAATTCAAAGCAAAATAAACTTATTAATGTTTTGTTTCTATAAACAGCTTATTTGGCCGCCTTATTGTATGGGCCTATATCACCTACCTTACAGCCAGCATTCATTTTACTACATAGCTATCTTGGTTTTGAAGGAGTTATTTTTTATTTTTATGTGTCTCATCTTGTAGACGATCAGTGTACTATTGACTAAATATAATAATAATACTGATTTAATTATAGTGTGTTTCATATGTAGTTATAACTATTTGAGTGCATGATTGAATTCCATTATAAGAAAATTATTTTTTTCTTAAAAGGGCATTTTTCACAAATATTCTGATGAGGCAATATATATTATTTTGAAAAAAAAAATTATGTTTTCCATCTCATACTTCAGTGAAACATTGTTTCTCAAAGCTATATTGGAGCAAGCACAGCTAACTGTGGCTTAATATCCAAACGAAGCTGTTTGGCTTTTAGTCTACATCTTATGCCATGACTGTCAGTAGTTTTAATTTTGGAAATAATGGCGAAAAATTGTTTAGCGCAATACATTTTCAAATTACAATATGCATATAATTATTTGAAGAAGTATGTTTCCTCTGACTTATATTCATGCTGAAAGTTTTTTTAGAATTAGTATTGTTGACCTTGTAAATGTAGAAACACATTAATGGTGTGTATGTGTGATGTTAACATATGACATGATTATGTATGTTGCATAAGGAAAAAATGTAATTTGAGATCTGAAAAAATGGAATGTAATGTTCCTGCCAAATACTTGGCAAGTTGAGAGGTAATTTTAATTAACAGGAGAGTTAAAAGACAATTTTTAAAAAAATGTATGTATGCTCAAACTCCTTGTATACTAAACTCATATTTTTCTTGTAAAATATTGTAAAAGTACCAACTAAATTGTCTTCACTAGTAACAGTAACAACTAATAAAGGTATTCTTTGCTTTCAATGATTAATTTATTTAACTATACCAATTACACTGATCCAATCAAAAGCAATTAAACTAATCCCCTAGGATGTCAAGGTGCAAAAGTTAATTCTGTCCATAAGTATTTTAGAAAAAAGAAAACAAAATCCATATGCACCACAAAATGTATAAATCTTTATGTTTAAAATAACACATGTAGTCGTATAATATTAACAATAATCAAATAACAAACATTTATGTATGTTTAGCAGCACTTTTTTCCATACAGGAGGTGTGAACTAATATGTATGGACATCTTGCATTGTCAGTCATTAACATTAAGATCTCATTTTCAGAGAGAAACGCTCAGGTATAACTAAATTCGTGGTTGAAAGCAGAGGGACTTATCTTAAATTGAGAGAAAAAAAGCTCAGGAATAAATAACGTTGGGGGTTGAAAGCAGATGACTAATCTTCCAGTATATTGCTATAATATAACATAATAAAAATTTACAAATAAATGTAAGCAAATCACTTTTATTAAAAATCTCCGATACATCTTGACTCATGGGTAAATTAGCATTTCTTTCAGAAAAAAAGCATTTATCTAAAGAAACTATGTTTAATTAACGTCTATTTATCTTTCAATACTTGAACATCTATTTATCTTTCAATACTTGAACATCTATTTATCTTTCAATATTTGAACAGCTTTTCTTCAAATAAATAAGTTTGTATTTAAAATATGCATCCTTAGAATTAATGCAGCCTGATTTACTTTTTGAGTGCAGTCACTGTACCGTATTTGAACATATTTTTATCATAATTATTCCTTATTATATCTCTCGTGGAAATTTTCAGATTTTTGACAGTGAGTAACATTATTTCACCATTAATACAGACTGCAAAATGTGAATTTTACTCAATAATAATCTTGAGCTTGTCATGTTTAACAGCGGGAATACAATGTACTTTGCTATCCTTGGTTTTAAGAGAAATTAGCAAATCTGTGCCTTTTATTAAATGCTCTGTTTTGCATGATAATCAAGGCTGCTGCAACCTGTGTGGTTGTGCTGGGTGTTTAGAATTAAGAGACAGAAAATGTTTTTTAAGTTTAGAAAAGCAAGAGGGACAGAATAATGTCATGTCCCTGGTAATAATGCCATCAAAAACTACATTTTGGTCAAATCGTTATCTACTTATGCACACACACACATATATATATATATATTTTCTTTTCGGATTGTTATAGCTTCTTGGCATCGATATAAGTTTTTAATATTCTGGCTAAATTTAATCTTATTACCTTCAAGGCTGAATTAATCAGTGAGCACGTGCTTAAAGCATCAAGGAAAGGTGGAACTACAAGCACTGTGCTACCACGTGCTTTTCGTATTCTGAATGAATCTGCATTTTTAAATGCAAACATTCGGTTTGTATGATTTGTGAAAGAAATATATTCTTTCACTGATTTTACTTTTTATTTTATTTGTGAAATTTACGATTTATTTTCGCGTAATATGCCTAATTGCTGGATTCGTGATAATTGATCAAATTAATTTTATTTTTGCGTATTTTACGTTAAAATAAGACTATTTTTGTGTTGCTTAAACTGCGTATTTTCTGACTTTGGCTACTGGATTTGAAAACACACGTAGTTACCCCAAGCTCTCACTTCAGGTGATTGTCAGGGGCCTCGTTACATGTTAAAGACCTAAACAAAAACAATCAAGAAAAGAACAGCTAGTAATGATAATGGGTCCAAATAGCATCGTTCTGGCGCCAATTTTGATTATGACGTGGAATGCACGCGGAGTGCTAAATAAACTTCAAGAACTAAAAAACTTCTTAATTAATCGCACTCATAACCGAAACGTTTGCGAGTCCATGTAATAAGATTAAAATTTCGAACTCTATCTGTTTCAGAGGTGATCGCATGATCACAGAGGTGGAGGTGTTGCCGTGTATGTGAAGAACAACCTGCAATCCTGCCTTATCAATACAGAATCAAATAACGACATGAGTCTATTACCGTCTCTGTGAATCTACCACTCTATGGCATTGTTTATGTTGTAGCTCTTTACAAACCTCCACAAAATATTTTGGACAAGCAATTTCTCAAAAAACTTCTTCCTGAGGACAAGAAAGTTATCCTAGCAGGTGATTTAAATTCTAGAAATGTTGAATGGGGTTGTTGCCTATGTTGTCGTAAGTCTAATAAGAATGGAGAAAAACTATACGACTTCATTACTAATAATCCCGTCTATTTCTACGCTCCCACCTCCTGTACATATCTTCATAGCAACCCACGCAGAGAAGATATAATTGACATTTTTCTGACCACGACCTCCATTCCTATGTATCTAGAGATTAAAATGGACTTAACTTCGGATCATATTCCTGTAATCGCCACCTTAGGCACTAACAAAAATAGTAATAAGAAAAGTACGAACTGGACTATGTTCAAAGAAATCATTACTAAAGATCCCCTATTATTACTTGCCTCAAAACGGAGAACGATATTGATAATGCAATTGACAATTTTACTGAATGCATCCAACAGGCCTTTAACACTGCCACTAAAAATATCCCGTGGGATTACGACTCAGAGAAACTGCCCAAACGTATTCGGGACAAAATTAAAGAACGAAATAACTTACGTAAGAGATTTTTAATGTTTCATGGGATCCAAGAATTAAAAAGAAACTAAACAGACTTAATAAAGAAATTAAAAATGGCATCAGTATTTACAGAACGAAAAGATCAGCAGTTTCAATGAACCCAATCAAGATTTTTGGAATTTTGCTAAAAATCTTAAGAGACAAACTACTTGTACTTCATAGGCAACAATCAAATTGCTCTCACAAATAAAGACAAAGCAGATATTATGGCATTACATCTTGAACAGCAATTTACGCCTAATCTAGACCCTTGTGATCATAATTTCGTCACTGAAACCAACAATTTTGTTCATGAATGGCTTAATAGCATTAATACTAAAAATATTACCGATTACACCTCTCCTAAAGAGATTTCTGAAATTATTAGAAGACTAAAAAATAGGAAAGCACCTGGGTTTGATCAGATTACCAATATTGCAATCAAAAACCTTCCATCGAATGTTATCCGTAAACTCACTAGTATTCTTAATGCCTGCCTGGCCAATAATTATTTTCCTAAAAAATGGAAGACTGCTAAAATTATCTTACTGCCCAAACCGAGCTAAGATATCAAGCAGCTTGTTAGATTAGCCAAATTTTTCGGTGCCGCCTTACACAACAATCAGACGGTTGCCTTACTCATGCTTATAGACGTGGCGAAAGCTTTCGACCGCGTCTGGCATGAGGGGCTTATCCAAAAGCTCATTACTCTGGATTTTAGTCGAGACATCATTCTCCTCCTCAATTCTTTTATCACAAACAGAAGATTCTTTGTTAACATTCATGATGATAATTCTGATTACAAGACGCTCAAAGCCGGAGTGGCTCAAGGCTCTGTACTTGGACTTATTTTGTATATTTTTTACGTCTCTGACTTCCCTAAGATAAATTATGATGTTAATTCCTTCCTCGGATGCTACGCCGATGATACGGCCGTCGCCATTAAGTCTTTTAACGTCGATACTGCTGTTAAAAATATGCAAAGATTTGTCTCTGATATTGAGTTCTGGTGCAAGCAATGGCGGATCTCGATCAACGCTCAAAAATCACAACTTCTGTTAATTAACAAAAAACGCATAATGACTCCTGCTAGAAGAAAACTTAAAATTTTCAATATTATTGTATCTGAAGTTAAAAAAGCTACTTACCTCGTGTAGTCCTGAATAAGCAATTCAAATGAAAAGACCATATTATTAAAGTCAGAAGCAAAGCTCACACAGTAATGAACAATCTTGCACCCCTACTGGGTAAATACTCTAAATTGGATCTTTCCCGTAAAAGACACCTTCATACGGCCATTATTAGGCCAATTTTTTCCTATGCATTCCCTGCTTGGGCTACAGTTACAACTAAAGACCTTTATAAACTGCAAGTTCTACAAAATAAGTTTATGAGAATTATTACAAATGCACATTTTTCTATGTCAAACGACACTCTTCACAGAGATCTTAAAGTGGATACTGTTGCAAAATACCTCCATAAAATGAACAAGAACTTTTTCGACAAAGCCATACAATACGACTTTTTACGTCATTTCAAAGTTTTTGATTATATTTCACTGAGAGAGGATAGTTCCATCAGACCTTACGCGGCTCACCTCACCCGTGACGATAATTTCACTACATAGTTCGCTTTCACGAATTTTCCTGTATATAGTGTATATACAGTACACACCCGATTATCCGCGGAATTGGGTGGCGCGGCCGCCGCGGATAACAAAAATCGCGGATGATCCGAAAAAAGCTAAAAACGGATATAGCAAAAAAAGAAAACAGTCATTCCAACTTTGAAAAATCGTTTTATGTACAATAAAACGTAAAATAAAAAGCAGGAAATGTTTAACTAACGCTTAATATTTTAGTATATCACTCACAACTAACCTAAAATGTAATTTGTTAATGAAAACAGAAAAGTGCTTTGTACTTACGAGAGGCGTCAAGGATACACAGAAAAATTAAAACATATGTACTGTTTTAATACTGTAATGTATTATGTAATTACAAAAGTATAACTGTAAAACTACACCTTTTAGAAGAAATCAGTCATTTGTGTTTGCTTCTTGCTTTGGAAGCATTTTCTCTTGATCCGAGACTGCAATTTTCGTAGCATAAGTTTCTCGGCCAATTCCGCGTCGTCTTGTTCTTCCAAATAGCTCAGCAGTCCGACGACTTGTCTTCAAATTCATGGTGGAAATCGTCGGCTGCTTGTTGGTCACCACTAAGTTTCTCCCCATGAAGTCCAGTTTCTCGAATTCCATGTCGCTGCTTAAAACGAGTCAACCAGCCAGAAGACGCATCAAAATTTCTTTTCAGGCCTAACAACTCAAAAAAGTTTTTTGCCTTCGCTGCAATGATAGGACCATTTACAGGAGTACCCTCTTTTC